GCTTTCAAATGAAAGTACTAAAATGCCTTTGCCAATATATACCAAAGCAGCACAAAGCACACACTGAAAACCAGAGAGCCATGTCAATGCTAGAGTGCATCTACAGTATTATAATCCCTGTTCTTTGTGGGGTCTACGTATTTACCTGAACCTGCACGGAGGCCAACACACATATCATCTATAATACATTTGAAAATGTAAATGTTGCAATCAATACATTCTAATAAATTTAGTAGGCTAGCCTAACTAATGATTAGTCGGGTATATTCACCTAAAGAAGTCCTAATTATTACTAATCATATTGTTTAGTATGAATAGCACTATTCTTACTACTTAGCACAAAAAGTATATCATTTTTCATATTAAATATCTTTCTTAAAATACTTTCTCTCCTTAGAATACATTCCTTCTCTCACATACGAGACTATATATATTCTCTCATGTCTATATACATAAAAACACAGTATTTTAAAACTTTCTATTCCTCATTTTAAATATTTTTTGTTTAAAGGTCTGCCTGGCCTATTACAGTAGGCTTCTTAAAGGCAATAAACATGTATTATTCACTTATATATTTGTAGTACCCAGCAGAGAGCTAATGATATAGCAGAAGCTCAATGGGTGATGCTGGATGTCTTAAATTAGATACTGAGTGTCCACTATGTGCCAGAGGGCTACTGTTAAGAATAAATAATTCAAGCATAACATAAGTACAGCTACAGAAGTACATAACATGGGAACACAGAGAAAAAAACCCACCTAACTTTGCAAAGGAGAACTGGGAGGAAATTTCAAAGATAAACTCTAGTCTAAAGAGGAATTTTTTTCATGTGGACTAGGGTGAAGAAAAAGCATTCAAACCCAAGGAGATATAATAACCTTATTTAGAAACTGCAAATTATCTATTACAACTGGAATATATAAGAAAGAAAGTAGTTAGGGGACAGAAAACTTGCATTTGCCAAGTTTACCTAGCAAGCAACAAGCAGAAAAGTATGTGACAGTCCACTGATGGGTGAACATAAGAGAAAGATGAAAACAGTAAAAACACCTCAAAACAGATACAAAAAGGCAAAAGCTTTTAACCTATTGATAAGCCTTAAAAATCATGCCCAGAAGTTTAAGTCATACAAGTAGAGGGAGGTACTGAATAGACACCCAAACTAGTAACAGTAGCAACTCTGCAACTTGGTAAATGTCTGACCTAGAGCAAGTCACTTATTTCAGCCCCAGTTGTGATTATTAAATTATATAATGTAAGGGAATATACTGTGCAAACTGTAAAGAGACATACATCTGTTCAAATTGGAATTCTATATAAGTGTTCTCTCTAAAGTAACGCCAGTTCTTCTTAATATAAAACAGAGTTGGTTACTAAGGAAAATAATCACACTTCCAAAAGCTATAAAAATGCCGTAAAACAAATAACAAAACATTTACAAGATTTATTAGATTTGCAAAACAAATAACTTCTTAATAGAATAACTTTTCT